TACTACAGAAAAATAGCATAGAACCAAAGAAAGATTAGAATTAACTCACTCTTAATGCAACTATTTTCATGAAAAACAATACTATCATTGAACCGAAGGATCCAGGTGCGGGTGTCGTTCTGAGATATATCCAGTAGCCCCACAGTCGAAGAAGCTGAAGCGGGCGGTGCTGTGACGGTGCATAACAACACTCTAGGGCTAATAACTTCAGGTTCAGTGGGAGGGAAACAATTGTGTAGAATGCCCTATCGTTTGATGTGATATATGCCCAAGAGATTAGGAGTCCTTGATTGTAATGTGCCAATTCTTAAAGAAAGCAAGGAGTGAAGTAGAAGCTTCACCATTTGAGCACCAAGGACATATCATTGACTATAATGTTCATCAGGTTGCTTAGAAGAGATATGAGCAAAAGTATTATCATTTGTAAATATTCTTTTCAAGTGAGATGAGCAGCAGTACCAAGATAGATAACAATGTTAAAGTATCTTCAGATTTTTTTTTCATTTTTTTGATAGAGCTGGATTTATTTGGATATGATTTTCCATGGTGGGGAGAGTTGGCGACGGCGTAGGGTGAGTAGGTTGGGGGAATGAGATATGAGTGTGAGTAATGTGTTGTGGGCTGAGAGAGTGAATCGCCTTTTTTAGATAAGAAGAAAATGAGTTGTTGATTGCTTTTTTAAGGGAAAAACCACTGTTTGCTTTGAAAGAAATGTCACACATTTTTTATAGTGAATAATATCACGTATCCTAATAAGTCATTTCTATGAAATAATTACCAACAAGTGATTCAAAGGTGAGCCATTATCGAAATTGGATGTGACCCACTCTAATAGAAGGCACAATGCCACTCACTTCGACTAAAAATGTCACATGCTGTTATCTAGCAGCTGACCGATGAATATATCTTTAGGCCCTGTTTGGTTCATAAGTCCTAAGACTTTTTTTAGTCCCAACTTATAAGTCCCAAGTCCCTAAAAAGTCCCTACTTGTTTGGTTCCTGGAACTTATAAGTCCCTACAAGACCATATTACAACTATAAGTCCCTATAAGTCCCTACTTGAGAGTGTTATTTCATAAGTCCCAAATGCCCACTTTAAGTTCCTATAAGTCCCTCCTGTTTGATTTAGATGGGACTTATAGGGACTTTTTTAAGTCCCTAAGCCAATAAATCCCTGAAAACAAACACCCTCTTACTTTTTCGGGTCAGAGTTTAAAACTGATGGCTTCGGATGATGCTTTGATGGATTGGATTGAGATCTCGTCGAGTTTTACACAATCAGAAGAGGTGCATACAAATAATTGTTATTTTTGTATATATTTTGCACATGATAACACAAAAGGTATATTTCTACATATATGTTATTATTGTAGGGGATGAGAGAGATAAAGATGTATTATATCGACATTTAAAAACATCAACAAGGGTCCCCAAGCGATGTCATTGAAAGGCGCAAAAATATCATGAAGTTTTATACGGGAGCTCCTAACGGGCGCCTTCAGCGTCGGTTCCCGTTCTGGCGCCCACACGCCCGCGAACTGGGCCGGCCCATCTTGCCTCGTGTACCACTTCTGCTCGTTCGCTCCCCTCGCTCCCTCGTTCATTCTCCCTCGATCGCCTACTTCGCTCCCCTGGATCGGTCAAGTATTGACTTTTGACGAAAAAAAACAAAAAACGAAAAATTTCGTGAATTCAAGAATTTTCATAAAACTTGAAAGAAAGTCCAGGAACTTATAAAAAAGTTCATGAATTTGAAAAAAAGTTCATCAATAAAGAAAAATCGATTTTGAAAAATGAAAATCTTAAATATGCGAACAAATGTTTCGAAAATCGTACGCAAATTTCAAATATTCCTTTTATTTTAAATGTGAGCTATGTTTTTCAAAAACTGGACAATTTTCGAAATTTGAATACTTTTTTGTACTGTGAATAATTTTTAGAAAGCGAATTTAGAATACACATTGAACATTTTCTTAGTACAGGGTGAACATTATTCAAAGAAACACTGAATATTTTTTAAAATACGCTGAACTTTTTTTGAATACATGCTGAACAAAATTTCTCTGCACGATGAACATTTTTTATACACACTGAACATTTTTTCAATGTATGGTAAACAGTATTCAAATACACATAGAACTTTTTTTAAAATACGATGAACTCCTTTTGAATGCATGCTGAACAAAATTTCTATACATGAGGAACATTTTTATACACAGTGAACATTTTTTTCAATGTATGGTGAAATTTTTTCTTCAATACGGTGAACAAAAATTTGGAATTCAGAACTATTTTTGAAACGTGAACAAAATTCGAAAACATGAACAAAATATGGAATTTTGAAAAACATTTTCTGAAAAGTCAAACGAATTTCGAAAAACTGAACATATTTTGGATATTGAAAATAGTTCACCCAATTCGAAAATAGTTCATCCAATTTAAAAAAGTTCACTGGTTTTCAAATAAAGTTCATTGAATTTAGAAAAAAATTAATCGGTTTTGGAAAAAGTTCATGGAATTTGGTGAGAAAAGTTCGTCGATTTTGCAAAAGAAGGAAAAAACTGAACAAAATCGTTCATAGGAAAAAAGAAACAATATAAAACAAAAGGGTGAAAAGGCTCTGAGAAAACGCGAATACTAAGGTGGCGGACTGGCTATGGCAGAACGCTTGTACTCTGGAGGACTCCAGTTCGAATCTTGCCCCACGCAAGCAGTTTTTTGCGTTTTAGAAACAGCAAAAAAGAAGAAAGAATGGGCCGGCCCAGTGCGGCGGGAGGGTGTGCGCCCGAATGCATAAATAACTAAAACGGGCGCTTAAGGCGCCGTTTAGGCATTATACTAGTAGTCATTGTATGTGAATCCGTCAAGCCGTCCGTTCTCCGTCGAGCGTTCGGACGGTTAGATCGTATCCTAGGCGGTGCACGCTGCACGCGTTTCCCTAGCCCTCGCTCTCCCCTCCTCCCCCCGTTCATAAATACTGGCCGACCCCTCCGTTTCTCCTCCTTTTTCCCCGGAAAGCCTTCGCCCCCAGAGTTAATTTGCTCGACGTCACTTCGTGCAGTGGTCTCTGCCAGAAGTTCGTCATGGACCAATGCTTGCAGGTCGCTTGGTTCGCCGGCACGGACGCGATCGCCAGGCGGTCCAATTTCATCATCTCGCCCCTTTCCGTGCGGACCGGGCTCGCGCTGCTCGCCACCGGCACCAGCGGCGAGACGCTGACCCAGCTGCTGGCCTTCTTGGGCTCCCAGGACCTCCACCTTCTCAACGCGGCCAGTGCCAGCCTCATCGCCGAGATGCGCGCGTGGCCGCAGCTCACCTTCGCCGCCGGCATCTTCGCGGACAAATCATTCTCGCTGAGGCCGGAGTTCGTGTCCGCCGCCACCTCCGCCCACAGGGCCTCCGTTAGATCCGTGGACTTTCAGAAGCAGGTAGTTCCATAGTGGCATTTGCAGCACTAACGATAACGATAAGTACAAGTAAATTTGACTGACAATCAATCTGCAAGTAAACATGAACGAAAAAACTAACGATAAGTACGGTATGATAACGCGAGCACGTGACTAAGAAATTGATTTTGCATTGCATGGATCAGCCGGCGGCAGCGGCAGCTGAGGTGAACGCTCTCACCGCAGAGACCACGCGGGGCCGGATACGCGACCTCGTCTCCCCCGACTCGTTTCGAGGCGACCCGAAGATCGTCCTCGCCAACGCCATGCACTTCAAGGCCACCTGGGCCCGGAGGTTCGACCCGTCGGACACCGTCCGCTGCGACTTCCACCGCCTCGACGGCACGTCCGTGCGGGTGCCATTCCTCTCCGATCCCGGGATGCAGTACGCCACCAGCTTCGACGACCTCGGCTTCAAGGTCCTCCAGTGTTTCTACAAGATGGCGGGGCGCGACGGCAAGCTCGACCCCAAGGCGCCGCTCTTCTCCATGCTCATATTCCTCCCGCACCGGCGCGACGGGCTCCGGGACCTCCTGCGGCTGGTGGTCACCGAGCCGGACTTCGTCATGCGCTGTGCTCCCCGGCGCGAGCAGGTGGTCTCCCCGTGCTTGCTCCCCAAGTTCAAGTTCTCCTTCCGGTTCGACGCCACGGACGCGCTGCGCGGCCTCGGGCTCGCCGCGCCGTTCGACCCGCTGGCCGCCGACCTGTCGGGGGCGGTGTCGAACATGCCCCGGGAAGGGCTCTACGTGTCGGCCGTCGAGCAGATGTGCGCCGTGGAGGTGGACGAGGAAGGCACGACGGCGGTAGCAGCGTTCTACACGCATACGAGCCCGACCTATAGCCCGTTTGAGCGCCCGCCGCCGCCGCCCATGAGCTTCGTGGCGGACCACCCATTCCTGTTCGCCATCGTCGAGTATGGCAAGGGCGAGGTTTTGTTCCTCGGCCACGTCGTGGACCCTTCCAGTTGAATAGTAGTTGTTGATGACGGTTTCGATTTACTAGAGAGCAACGTAGGGCTGCGATGGATGAGGGCCCGTCGTCTCTGTTTCATTCCTCTCTGTTCTTCTGCGACGAACCTTGGTTTGGTTGCATTAAGCAACGCTCAGACAACACTTGTTTTATTGGTTTATTTACCATTTCTAGATTGATATTTTTGACGATTATTCATACTATCTAGTTTGTAATTCGGTGGTGATTTCTTACTCTGTTCAAAAATCTATGTCTCTGTCTCTGCATTTTAGGCACTTTGTGAGGACTATCTTGAAGAGAAACTGAGCCAAAAAACACTCCACGAAGTTGGAAACCCTGATATTTTCAAGCCTATCCCCGTATCCCGGCTTTGAACATTTTTGGTGAACAATTGTGCAGGTAGCATTTTACCTCTGGTTAAATTTTGAATGGTTTACTACTCTGTAAATACATCTGCAGGTACCCCAGATAACTGAACTTAGGCTACAGAGCAAGAAGCCAAAAAACTCAGTATGTTCGTTCTCAAATATGAGAGCAAGAGAGATATCGACGGGACAGAACATGGAACAGAAACACCAAGTTTGATCACTTCTTCTCCCCTTTCTTATCATCCTTCTTCTCTTCTTTCGCCGGCCCAACGGACAGGATGTCGATCCTCCCGAACTTCCGCAGCTTCTTGGCGATCACGACGCTGTCCATATCACCTATCACCGTCATCTTCTGATCCTTGTGGTCCGCGGCTATTGAGTCGATACCTGCTTCAGATCATAGTCAAGTCAGGAGACTGACTCCACCTTGGGCACTAATACTTCACCAGGATAGCAAGCGAGAAACGAAACAAATGAAGAAGCAAGCTGAAAAGAAAAAGGAACACCAATGCAAAGTGCAAGTTACTTCACCATAGATGTCTGCAACGGTTTCCATGGCCTTCTGCTTCACCCTCTCGTCGCTCATAGAAGAGACCTTCACGACCACCTTCTGCTGCCATGCAAGGAACCCATCAATTATTAGAGAGGGTGTGCAAGAGATCGTCCATGGCGAGGGTGATTTGATCAGCACGCAAGAAATTCACTGGAACCATACCTGCGGCGCCATCCGGAGGAGAGACGGAGATGGGGTGGAGGCAGCAGAGGGGAAGCGAATGCTGCTTGCGATTTTGAGTGTGCAGGATGCAGAATGAGCCAAGCTGGGAGACACGGCCGTAATTTGTACAGCGTCGCGGGGTACGGCTTTCTTCTTTTTCTTCTTCTGATGCCGCTTTGCTCTGGACCCTAAGACCAGCTTGTGTGCGCTGTTCTATCAAGATTCAGAGTGATCAGCTAACAAAGTACTCCGTAGAACATTTTGTTGGTCGCTGCATGCGGATGGGACAGAAAGGAGAATGGCAGCACCAACCACAACCTATCAAGTCTGATTTATGTAGTTCATCAGATGCATCTTGTCAAAAGATTGCAGGGTGGCTCAGCAGTTACATACCTGCCATCATGCAGCTGCCTAGTGCCTAGTTCATGTATCATCTGCGACTTGTTTTCCGTCTACGACTTGCAACATGGAATCTAGTTCGTTCCTACGCTTAAAAGTCGGTGGAGATTTAGGTAAATTTGGTTGAACGTCCCTCTCCAGAGAGAGAGAGAGAGAGAGAGAGAGAGAGAGAGAGAGAGAGAGAGAGAGAGAGTGAAGGATAGTTTGGTGAGCCACAACCGTTGAACGTGTCATGTGCTCCGTGGAGGAGAGTGTGTGTCCACTTCTCTCTTGTAGCTTGAGGTGTCATCATCCATGATGCATCCAACGATGTATATAGGTAGCCCGCGTGCCGCCTAGCCGAACACCCGGGACGTAATTTTGGTCTGTTCGAATGTCCGGGTTAAACTACACTTCTACTTCGGTACACCCTTCTTAAACACATCAAAGACTGAGATTTGTTCATACCCCTTCGCTGGCAGGGGCACGATCGTCTTATGTAGCGCGTCCAGGCCGATACCCCCGCGCGCCCGTGTATACGTGGCTACGGGGCGAGCCGAGCCGCTCAGTAGCCGTCAGGACGCGAGCCGAGTCGCACGCCATGGGCCCACTATGCCAGGCGCCATGCGGACGTGGCGCGGACGGGCGTACCGTCGTGCAGTAACTGCCCGCGGTAAATGCGGCGTGACTGCAGGCGGCGACTGCTTGCGACCAGTCGCGTGCCGCCCAGTGGCCACCGCCTCGGGGCGCCCGCCCATGCGCCTTCCACTGCCGCGCGTGCGGCGACCGCCCGCCATGCGCCTTCCACTGTCGCGCGTGCGGCGACCGCCCACCTGTCGCCCGTCCGCCTCGGCTGCCGCGCGCTGCCGCGGCAAGCCCACCTTCATACGCCACCGATGTCGCGTCTGCCGCCCACCTTCCGCCTCGGGTCCGCTGTTGACGTGACCGCTCAGCTGCCGCGGCCGCGGCCAGCCCGCCCGCCTTCACACGGCACCGCTGCCGCACCTGCCGCCCGCCGCCCGCATCGGGCCGCCCGCCTTCCCCTCGTGGCGCATGCCACCGATGGCTCGCGTGCCACCGACGGCTTACTCGCCCCTCTCCCTCCCCCGCCGTCTATACAAAGGCCGTGCCAGCCCCTCTCCACGCCATGCCCTCTCTTCCTCTCTTCTCCAAGCCAGCCCCTCTCTTCTCCACACCGGCGATGTCTTCGAGCGACCCCGACGAGGGCACGTGGACGGGCGTCTTCTGGCCGCTGAGCCTCACCATCGATGACACCGAGGACTTGGCCCGGTAACGCCTGATGGTGCCGCCGGCTGCCAAGGTGCCGGGGCCATGGCGGATCGACGCAGACGGAATCCCCACCATGGGACCACCGCCGATGAGGGAGCAGCTCCGTGCCTTCCCTGGGGGCCGGTACAACAGGAGGTCCCGCCGCAGGTTCTGGCGCGGCAAAAACTTTGGCATCGTCCTCGGCGCGTTCAGGGCCACGGCGGACAGCCTTCCCGTCGGGGACATTACCGACGAGGCCGGCTCTTCCCGTCGTCGCCGCCGCCACGACCCACCTCCACCCGCCCCAACTGCCCCGGCACAGTAGGCGCCCCCTGCCCCGACGCTGGTTGAGATCCCGCCGGCGCAAGCCGCCCTCACGCAAGACGGAGACCTCGACGACACGCTGGGGCTACTTGCGGTGCTAGCCCGGTCGGCATAGGAGGCGACGGTGGCGGCAACTCGCGAGGAACGAGAGCGGAAGGCGGCCATAGTGGCGGTGTAGGCGCAGCAGGCGCAGGAATACAACTGGTGGGACTTCAGCGACGACGACGGCGGCGGCGGCGATGATGGCGGCGAAGGAGACGCCGACGGTATGGCGCCGGTCGTCGACCTCACCGGCGCCAGTGACGAGGAGTAGTCTAGTTTTAAGTTTAGATTTAAATTTCGTTCTAAGTTATGTAAGAGTAGTGGTTATGTTTAGGGTTATGTAAAATATCTTGAATTATGAATGTACTCGGAATGGTTTATCTGGAAGAAAATATCCATATGTTTAATTTGATGTTAGTCATGCAATAAACCTTGAAAAATAAACGAAAATACGCGCATTTGAACGTTACGAGACGACAAGTGACACAAAACGGGCGGTTCGCTTATACCAACTCACCGCAAAAATTGTAGAAAAATCAGAGTGGCAAAAGGCCACGAAACTTGTCATGCATGGGGCCTTCGCTCCTACCCGAACGGTCTCCAGAGAACGAGGTCAATTTTTCGACATATTCGGAATGACCTCAAATTTTGCAAGTGAGTTGGTATGGCCACCCCCACACTCAATCCAAGAATGGAACATATTTGGACACCAAGAACATGTTCCGTCACGTCCGGGGTGTGCTATGTGGTGTTTTCATCGAAAAAATTATACAAAATTCATAAAGTGGCAAAAAGCCACGAAACTTGTCATGCATCCTAGTCATGATGGTGGAACACTATGGAAAAAATTTGGGTTCATTTGAAGTATGTCGAAAAAAACTCCTTTCGGATGGGGCCTTCGCTCCTATCCGGACGGTCTCCGGAAAAGGAGGTCAATTTTTCAACATATTC